TAAGCCTTGGGTTGGCTTCAATTGGGAGTAGTTGATGTGCTAACTACAATGCGTAGTACTGTAAAACCCAATCCTCTCAATAATATAGATGTATCACTCGGGGAACCAACCAAAACAAAAGTGTGTGTTCAGGGTATCCCACTGCCTGCGAGTCTTTGACCACTCCTGGGGAAAGATAGTGTTGGCTACTTGGAGTTTAAGAATATGTCTTATGCCTCCAACTAGGTCCACTCAATTTATATCTGTCTACAACATGTCTAGTATTTATGTTTTCAGTGGTTTTATGTAAACAGTGGAAGGATTATTCTCAGCTTGAATGTGTGTGGGGGGGGAGCGGGGAGGGAGTATCCAGATATGGTGAAAGAGAGAAATCTATAATAAAATTATTAACTCTGATTTCTAAGTAGATAAAATGCAGTCTCACTGAACATTTTTCATGTTTGCATCAAGACTAGAGGTTGGCAAAAAAAAAAAAAAATGGCACAGCTTAGCTTTGCCATGGTTTAACAATTGCCACCATTGTAGGTAACATTCCGACTACACCCAAAATGTAGATATGCCCTAATGATCTTTCCTGGGAGAATCTGATCCAAATATTTCCTAGCAACATAAATTTGAAATCACTTGTTTAAGCTGTCCTAAGTATAGAACACAGAATTGAAATATTGCAGTTCCTTGTGTTTAATAAAATGACATATTTTCTGCCTGAATTTGACCTCTTTGCCTTTACTTGAACTTCTGAAACTTCTGGTTTACATTATTGGAGACCAGCTATAGAGCAAATAAAAGAGTATTGTTTTATCTGTTACACAGAACTTGGTCCTTTATGAAGATTTTATAGAACTAACTCTTCATGTGGTATTAGAAAGTGGTTTATGCTTATTCAACCAAGTTTTAAAGACAAATTGGATACTTAGAATTTCAATTATTATTGATTTAGTCTTAGATTCAATTTCTACTTTACAATTTAAGTTTATTCAGTCCGTCAAAATTCTAGAAAATGATTAGTTTGGGCCACATATCAAACTATGACATTATTAATAAGTACTTATGCTAGAGATTATGAGTCTCTTTGAGATCATATAATTCAAAGCAATGCTGGAAGCACAGTGAATCATTTTGGAGGATTTACATTTACAGCTAGTTGGATATATCTTTATTTTTTAGAAGTAGTAGATATAGAATTTGGAGTACAATGAGTCATTTTTAAATTTTCCTGCAAAAAGGAACTGAAACCATATCCAGCATGTTCCATTGAGTAGAAGAGGAATTAGCTAGATAAAGAATCTACAAACCAAGAGAATTTCTGCTAATGAATAGGGGAAATATATTGATCTAAATACATATGTTCTAATTATAAAAATTACATTTGGGTGAATGAGAATTCTACTTATTTAATAGTTATCCCCTATACTATTTCCAGTTTCATGTAGCTTTAATTTTTTTCAATGTTTTTGGTAGTGCATTATAGTTATACATAACAGTGGGATTTATTTAACATAGATACATGCCTGGAAGATAGATTGTTGCATTTTAGCTCTTAATACTTCTGCGTTCCCTCTTCTTCTGCCTCCCCTAGTTTCCTTTCTTCTACCCTACTGATCTTTCATTTATTTATTGTTTCTTGTTTTTAATTAATGATATATAGATATACATAAAAGTGGGATTCAGTGTGATATATTGATATAAGTATATAGCTTTGCTTGGTCAATTTCATTCCATTCCTGCCTTTTCCCATCCCTCCTCCCTCTCCCTTGATCCCCTTCCTCTACTGTCTTCGATTTTCATAGGATCTCCCAACTTTCCCCCCTCATTGTGCTCTCTCT